ATCAGAAATTCCATCCAGGACCTGAGGAAATTTTCACAGAACCCAGTGGAGTTCCACACAACATTTCCATTTCAACTCACTAGGATTTTCTGACAGAAAAATATTTTGTCCAATTTTTTTTGACCAGCTCTACTTCCAATCCATTGATTCTGTTCCCTCTGAATCATGGTGAATATCACCTTTGTGCTATTGCACCAGTCTCTGTAACATAGGGACATATTGGTAAAAAATGTTACCCACTGTACATCTAAACATCTCTAAGTCTTAATTTCTGACTGCACAATTCATTTTGTCATTATCTTGCTTCACGATATTAAAAAATTGAAGCTAACTTGTTCCCTTTCTTAATCATGCTGTGAATTTTCTTTCTCATCCACATATAATAGATCTTATTATAATTCATGCTGTATTTATTACTAATACACATGGTCTCAGTCAAATCCACCCCTTGTGTAAACAAATGCAACTCAGCTGACTTCAATGACATTGTACTTGCTTATCCATCTAGTGCATTTGCATGCTACGTTCATGTCTCTCCCCATTTCCCCTAATGTATCATTTTCTTTAAGCAAGTCATCCAATTTGATTTTGCTTAGTATATTGATGTTTTCCAATGTTTAAAGTTTATTTTTCCCTTTCTCCTTTTAATTAGAATCCTAAATCTATCCTTGAGTATTGTTTCTGATTCCTTTGTGTTCAATTATGACCTTTATTGGTGATGATTGAACATGGCTCCATGTCTAGTTGGCAGCCAGTTTCAAGTGTGTGCCCCAGGGGTCGGTCCTTTTGTTCAATATCTTTTTTGTTCAATATCTTCATTAAGATAAAACATTAATTTGTTCAATTATCTTCCATCTGGAGGATGGCGTGGACTGCACTCTCAGCAAGTTTGCAGATGACACTAAACTGAGAGGAATGGTAGATACGCTGGAGGGTAGGGATAGGATACAGAGGGACCTAGACAAATTAGAGGATTGGGCCAAAAGAAACCGGATGAGGTTCAACAAGGACAAGTGCACAGTCCTGCACTTAGGACGGAAGAATCCCATGTACTGTTCCAGACTAGGGACTGAATAGCTAGGAAGCAGTTCTGCAGAAAAGGACCTAGGGGTTACAGTGGACGAGAAGCTGGATATGAGTCAACAGTGTGCCCTTGTTGCCAAGAAGGCTAACGGCATTGCCAGCAGATCGAGGGACGTGATCATTCCCCTCTATTCGACATTGGTGAGGCCTCATCTAGAGTACTGTGTCCAGTTTTGGGCCCCACACTACAAGAAGGATGTGGAAAAATTGGAAAGAGTCCAGCGGAGGGCAACAAAAATGATTAGGGGGCTGGAGCACATGACTTACGAGGAGAGGCTGAGGGAACTGGGATTGTTTAGTCTGCAAAAGAGAAGAATGAGGGGGGATTTGATAGCTGCTTTCAACTACCTGAAAGGGGGTTTCAAAGAGGATGGATCTAGACTGTTCACAGTGGTATCTGATGACAGAACAATGAGTAATGGTCTCAAGTTGCAGTTGGGGAGGTTTAGGTTGGATATTAGGAAAAACTTTTTCATTAGGAGGGTGGTGAAGCACTGGAATGGGTTACCTAGAGAGGTGGTGGAATCTCCTTCCTTAGAGGTTTTTAAGGTCAGGCTTGACAAAGCCCTGGCTGGGATGATTTAGATGGGAATTGGTCCTGCTTTGAGCAGGGAGTTGGACTAGATGACCTCCTGAGGTCCCTTCCAACCGTGATATTCTATGATTCTATGATTTATTAGAGATAAAAATTCATAGATGTTAAGGTCAGAAGGGGGGACCATTAGAGCATCTTGTCAGAGCTTTTGTATACCACAGGCAATAGCATTTCACCCGAACTTGTGTCTGACTATAGCATATCTTCTGGAAGACACCCAGTCTTGTTTTGACTTGGTTTGACATCAAGAGATGAAGAATCCATCACTTCCCTTTGTAGTTTGTTTGTTGTTTATCAAGCTCCCTATTAAAAATGGGTTCCTTATTTCTAATTTGAATATGTCTGGGTTTATATTCTAACCATTGGTTCTCGTTATGCCTTTCTCTGCCAGGTTAAAGAGCCCTATAATATTTGGAATTTTCTCCCTTTAAAGGTATTTATAGATTGTAATCAACTCAGCTCTTGATCCTCTTTTTGATAAGCTAAACATATTGCTTTGTAGTGAGAGACTTAAGGAGCTTATTTTCTCCAGCCCTCAGATCAAGACATTTTGCGACACCCTGTCCAATTTTTCAATATTATTTTAAAAATGTGGGCAGAAGAACTGGATGCAATATTCCATTATCAGTCTCAGCAATGCCAGATGCAGAGGTAAAAATCACCTTCTACTCCTGCTCACTACTCTCCTGTTTATTCATCCAAGGATTGTATTAGCTCTTTTTGCCACTAGATGGGACAGAACACCACACCCAGAAGGCATGTGAGTTACAAAAGTATCACATTGGAAGCTCATGGTCAGTTGCTTGGCAAGTCTAGTGTTTTTCCTTTTGTTACTTGTTAATTCAGAGATCAAATTAAAGAGCAATCCTGTATTGTATGGACAAGTATGTCACATCTGGCTTATGGCCTGATCCTGTGGTCTTTAATACATGCAAAACTTTCATTGACTTCAGTGGGAGTTACATATACATATGTAATGCAGGATCAGAAGCACAATAGTGTATAGGCATACAGTTTACACACTCACACAGTATATACACTGTAAATTTACAATTATTTCCCTTCATAAAAGACAGCAAAACTAGATGCAAATCTGAACAGAAATGTTTCCACTTTAGGAATTCAGCTAAGACACATGGCTCTCAGAATATTTAGCCAGCTGTTTGCTCCCATGTCCTGCTTCCAGCATTTTGGCCACTATGTCCTGTTGGCTCTTCATGTCTAAACCTCCACCTTAGATTCACACCAAGAAAAATCTTGTGTTTTGCCTTTCACCCAGAAATCACTATTCTTCCTAGACCATGTTGAGTTAGACTGGTTTCTCCATACTCTAATACCAGCTTCCCAGGGTGGTCTGCCAATGAGGGACACTTTTCAGATGCAGTGGACAGTCCTTTTGCTCTTTTATTTTCTTTTGTTTTTGATCTGGCCATGAAGAGAGAAAGCCCTTTACCCATCTATTACCTTAGCATTGACCAACCCCACTTGATTCCTTTTCAGACATTGTCATTTTCCTGTCAATAATATCTCATTGATTGCTTGTGCTGGACATCTGTATCTATCTATGGTCTTAAATAAATAGATTGTAAGCAATTTGGGGCAGGGACCATCTTTTTCTTGTGTTTTTACATCACCTACCACCTTGGAATTCTGGTCCATGACTGGAGTTCCTTGGTGCTACAGTAATACAAATAATAACTGTGAAGTTCTTAGGTTTAATCCCAAAGGTTTTTGTAGTAGCTCAATAATTCAGTGACATGTTGTTCATTACTACCTTTGCCATAACAGTTTGTTTGAGTTGCTTAATCACTGAACAAGCAGTGCCCTAAGCTACATGATGCTAGATTTTCATGGCATGGTGTTTGGGAGTTTACAGATCCCACGGGGATTGTAAGCAGGACCTGCAGTGGAGTGTTCAGTGTGACTTAATGCCACGTGAGTCAATTTGCCTGAATTATGTTCTTGGATAAAGGTTTAAAAAATCCTCTTGAACTCAATGGAAATCCACGTGTTCAAAAGGGCCTAAACCAAAGCCCAATGAAGTCATCCTGACTCTTTTAATTGGCATCTGTTAAAAGGTAGCATAGGGTAGCATAAAATCCCTCTTTACCCTGTAAAGGGTTAAGAAGCTCAGATAACCTGGGGGCACCTGAACAAAAGGACCGAAGATACTTTCAAATCTGGGGGGAAGGTTTTTGGTCTGTGTCTGTCGGAATCAGCCAGGAAACAGGGCAGGGGAAAATATATCTGAACTAAGCATCTAGTCTTGCAGAAATAGTAAGTAATAGCAGAAAAGAAATGCATTAGATTGCCTTTTGTTTTAGCTTGTGAATTTTTCCCTGTGCTAAGAGGGAGGTTTATCCCTGTTTTTGTAACTTTAAGGTTTTGCCTAGAGAGGAAATCCTCTGTGTTCTTGAGTCTTTTGTTATTCTGTAAAGTACTTACCATCCTGATTTTACAGAGGTGATTCTTTTACCTTTTCTTTAATTAAAATTCTTCTTTTAAGAACCAAATTGATTTTTCATTGTTTTTAAGATCCAAGGGTTTGGGTCTGCATTCACCTGTAGCAATTGGTGAGGATATTATTCTCAAGCCTCCCCAGGAAAGGAGGTGTAGGGGTTTGGGGGGGATATTTGGGGAAGGTAGGGCTCCAAGTGGCCCTCCCTGAATGTTTGTTTAAATCACTTGGTGGTGGCAGCATACTGTTCTAGGTGGAAGTTGTGCCTTGGGAAAGTTTTTAACCTAAGCTGGTAAAAATAAGCTTAGGGGGTCTTTCATGTGGATCCCCACATCTATACCCCACAGTTCAGAGTGGGGAAGGAACCCTGACAGCATCTATGGTGGTTCAGACCCAAACAAGCACATCAACTCAGTGTTAGAAAAGGGAGGAGGTGGTGGTGTAATGAATAGGGCCTGAAAGGATGGGAAGGGAGGCTTCAGTGAGAACAGGCAGTGGGAAATAAGGATGTTGATTGGGTCTTAGTGGCAGAGAAGGGAATGAGCCCGCAGCCAGAATTAGCACGCGTTAGGGCCAGAGGGGCTATCTCTGCCTTGGGGTGGTTTTAGAAGTGATTTTCTGCCTACAACCCCAGTTCAGCAGTCATGTCTGTCTTCAGTGCTCCTTGTGGCCTGGTTCCTTTTAGTGTCTGAGCTGAGAAACATGAGGCCTAACCTCTGATTACTGCTGTGTGGTTCCATGACTTGCCTTATGACGGCTGCTTTCTAAGTTCTGCTCTACAAAACAACACTTCCACCTTCACTGAGATGAGAAACATATTGACAGACATAATAGATGGGCCAAGATTTTCCTGTTTTCTTTCGGATTCTTCATAAATGTACCTAGCCTCAGCTTCTGGCTTTTCAGAAAGTGACCTGTGTGTATTGGAGATATCTTGGCTGACTTCTTTTGGAACATTTATAGTCATGGAGCAGAAGGTGAAGCTGACAGACCACTGCTGGAAATGGCAACCAGAAAAGCTAAGACCACAGAACATGGGTCTGAATGAATCCTGCCATGGAAAAACCAATGGGAGCGGGGAAGAGGAGAACTCCAGGAGGTAGGTTACATAGTGCCAGATTTAGTAAGGCATTTAGGCACCTAAAGATGCAGAGAAGCTCTTATGTCCAGGTCCTCAAATGTACTTAGGCACCTAATTCGGATTGAAATCAAGTTAGGTACGTAAAATATCTTTGAAAATCTGGGCCCTGCGGGGGTGGGGGTGGTTGAAAAGCACCTAAGGAGGTTAGGAAATGCAAATGATATCAACCGGAGTTAGGCACCTAACCTGCTTTGGAACATTTGTAAATTCCACTAGGTGCCTAAATACCTTTGTAAATCTGGCCCATAGGCCTAAAAGCCATCACTGCCTACAGAGCACAGATTTCTGCTCTCTGACTGTGTCCTCAATTCTGCTCCGCAGGGATTCTTCCCAAATCTTTGCTACTCATGGGGCCACAGAGGAGGAATTAGCAAGATCAACCTCCTATCCATATCTCACTCTCAAAATCCCCTCCCCCTTAATTGCCTGAGGATCATTACACTGGCTGCCTTTTCTAAAAACAATTGATATCCCTGGATATTAATTAATTTTTATTGTTATCTTCTAGCAAAGTTCTAGTTTGGCTCATAATATCACTCATTTATCTGTATGCAGATAGTTCCAGATCTCATTTCTTTGCTAAACTTGTTGCATTTGGATGTAGGCACTTTAAAAACTCTCTATTAATGTGGTTACTTCCTCCTTTATTAGTCTCCATAAATCCACAATTTAACCTGAAGTGCACATTTTAGCTTTATCAACCTGTTTTTACACCTTCCTTCCTCTGCTTTATTCCCTCTGTGTATTTGCCATTTCTCCTCCTGTCCTACTATAAACTCTCTCTGACAAGTCTGCCTTTTTTTTAAAGCAAGCAAGCAACCCTCCAATTTGAGTGTCATCATTTGTTCAGACATTGTATATTCCTTCAGTATATAGTCCCACTAATTCAAAATCACTGCCCATGACTAGATAACAGTAGCCTTCTCCTGGTCCTTGTAACACAGCATATGGGCCAAATTTATCCCTAATTTGTACACTGCTCCCTGCTCTACTCCCTGGCACTGGCTTTTTCTCTGTCCCTTCTTTCTTTTTGGTGCAAGAACCTTCTTCCCTGCAGCTTCTTTCCTCTGGAACAGCCCTTTTTATTCCTCATCAGTTTTCCAGCTGATTTCAGATAACAACTGAAAGCATCTTTTTTTCCCTTCCGTTTGCCTCAGTTTGTCTTTTTGGTTGTCCTTTATTAGTTCTCTCTGTTGTAACATTATCTAACTCTGTAAAGGATAGAGTTTGTATGAAAGTCACTGTACAAAATAAAGTGGTATAGTTCTTTGCATATTTAAAAAAAATGAATTGTATTTCATATTTCTACCCAACTTCTTTATAAATTCTGGTTTGTTGCTTTGGACTATCCTTCACAGGTTTTGATGGCTTGTGAGTGTACATTTCTCTGACTCCTTCCCTAGTGAGGCAGATAATATCCAACTCTTCTGATTTAAAATTTAATTTCAGATAGTCATTACATTCCAATTCAGAAAGATATGTTCCTCCACAGGACTGTTGCTGTCTACCAAATTCCATATGTTAGAACAAGAGTTGGCTCCTTTCTTGATTAGCCCTTTTTAGCTAATTGATCTGTAAAAAATTAACTTTATTAAATAATCCAGTAACAAACACAGCTAAGCCTTATTCATATAAACAGCATATGGTGCCACATACTCCAGAGATAAGGATCTCAAAACTGAATGTTACTTGCCCAGTAAACAGGAAGGCCTGAGAATGATAGTTTTTTAAATCAGAACCTACAGAATTAGCATAACTTTAATGTATACCAAGTTCAAGCTATATAAACAATAGAAATTCTCCTTCCTTATCAAACTTCATGTATTGCTCACGTGAGCAGCAGTGTTTATTTAAGAGTAAAAAGAAACTTGGTTCTCTTTAAAGTTAACTAGTTTAGTTCTGAACGGACTTATCCTGAGCTCCACTCTGTTATAAATATTTTTGAGTGTAAAGTAATTTACACATTAGCACAAAAATCAAAGAAACTAACTGAGCCAGTTTCTGCCAATGATACAAAGGGCCTGATTCTCTAATTCACCAAAGCCCCTTTACAGTGCTCTAGCAATTAGCCCTAGAGGATACATAACTATCAGGCTACTTCATGAGTAGGTTCAATTCTCAGTCCTGGCTCCAGCAACACAGAGCAACTGGAGGACTGCTCTAAAGGGGCAGCTGGGAATTCCTCTATTGCAGGGGAATCCTTGAGTGGTGCACTCAGAGCTACATCATCTCTCCCTTTGCTGTTTCAGGGGTGGGATCGAGCACATGGCACTTCACCAGATCCTGACTGGCATAATGGCTGGCTTTTGCAGGGGTGACTTACAGCAACCCAGGATCAGGGAAGTAGGAAGATTGCTTACAGCCAACTTCTCCCACCTTCTCCTCTCAGCTGCACGGGGTATAATTTCAGCGCACTTGAGGACTGAGCCCATGAATTTAAACCTGAGTTACAGTGGCAGAGTCTGGTTTTCTTGGAGAACACTTTAGTACCCTATCCTCAAGCCAACTGAGGCAATGCAAGCACTGCTAACCACACTTTACTATAAATACAATAGCCCATGCACTATGGGGAGGGGCAGCAGGAAGACTCCCCACATTCTTGCATAGCCCAGACTAGGGCCAGGCAGAACTGCAGTCTCTATGCTCAGAAGAGTGCAAAAGCCACTCGCTAGTTACTTTCTTCAGGGCATTCAGCATCCCAAAGTGGAGGGGTGGGGAAGGAAGGGTGGAGAGTAGGGAGACCCATGGTTCCATCCTTTCCACGTGCATGCCTCTGTTTGACACCTGGAGAGCTTCAGCAGACATATCTCTGGTGCTCCCTCTGCAGAGGAGTGAGGCTCCACACTGCCCCCGAAATGGCACAATCTACTCAAGAATAAAGGGTTGCTCTCATTTATACCAGTTTTACAGTATTGGCGTTACTTCTGATTTACGCAGTAAGGACTAGGTTGTCTTACCTGGCTGAGCAGCTGGTTAAGGAGGAGCAAGGGCCTGTGACACTTCTCGGGATGCCCAGACCTATGGGTGATCTTGTTACTCCTCTATATAAGCAAGAGAGAGATTTGCTGGTGCTAAACTGAGTGGCAGCTCCTTCTCACCCCCTCTATTAGCCACCCCAGACAAATTTCTCTGGACTCTGCCGTCCTTACTTTGCTTGGCAGATATAGCTTGGTGGACCCCAATTCCCGAACCCCCTTGCAGAGCATTTCCCTTCAATACCCAGCCCTTGTCATGGGATGCTTACAGAAATTACCAAGTCCACTATCTCCAAAGAGACAGGTTTCAGAGTAGCAGCCGTGTTAGTCTGTATCCGCAAAAAGAAGAACAGGAGTACTTGTGGCACCTTAGAGACTAACAAATTTATTAGAGCATAAGCTTTCGTGGACTACAGCCCACTTCTTCAGATGCATATGCATTGCTCCTCCTTAACCAGCAATACATGAAGTTTGATAAGGAAGGAGAATTTCTATTGTTTATATAGCTTGAACTTGGTATACATTAAAGTTATGCTAATGCATATGCATCCGAAGAAGTGGGCTGTAGTCCACGAAAGCTTATGCTCTAATAAATTTGTTAGTCTCTAAGGTGCCACAAGTACTCCTGTTCTTCTTTTTTCCAAAGAGACAGTGTACATACCAGCCAGCTAGCTCAGCTGATGATACACACTTTACTTTAATATTACAGCACTGAGATGAATTTACAGTAAAACCAAGAATAAGTTTATGAATAAAGAACAGAGATTTAAGTGATACCAAGCAAAGATAATAGAAACAGAAATGGTTACAAATAAAAAAAAAGTATAGCACACTTCTAAGGGTATGTCTATACTTACCTCCGGGTTTGGCGGTAAGCAATTGATCTTATGGGATCGATTTATCGCGTCTTGTCTAGACGCGATAAATTGATCCCGGAAGTGCTTGCCTTCGACACCGGTACTCCTGCTCTGTGAGAGGAGTACGCGGAGTCGACGGGGGAGCCTGCCTGCTGCGTGTGGACCCGCGGTAAGTACCTTGTAGTTCGAACTAAGATAGTTCGACTTCAGCTACGTTATTCACATAGCTGAAGTTGCGTATCTTAGTTCGAACTGGGGGGTTAGTGTGGACCAGCCCTAAGAGACTAAACATGATTGAAGTTTGCTAAAGTTCTTTGGCCAAAACAGTTTCTCACCTTACTGTCCTTTTGCAGAGTTTGATGATTTTCAGTCACTCCAGGATCCAGATTTTTCATGAATCATTCCCCTCTGCCAGGAGTGTTCCTCAGTGACCCCAAAGCTTTCCTTCCCTGCAGTGTACCCCCAAACAAGGTTCTTCTCTCTCGCTAGTGAGCAGACACCATGCTGTCCATGCTGTTTTTCTCATCCTTCTGTTCATTTGCATTTCCCGCTGTCTTAATATGCAAACATAGCTTGTTTTGTGTTGGCTTTTACCATGCTCAATTTACATCAAAGACCTAGGCAGACACATACATCAACATTCCTGTCTAGAAACTCCTTGGTTATCAACACTGACTGTTTTGATGGGTTTAAATATATGTTCAGCATACATGTATAACTTTCTAATAGTTACCCATTTATACATCACACAATTATTAGGATGACCAGTATGATATAAGTTTTCTTTTGGTACCTTACACGACATTCTTTATAGCTAAATACCATATGCTAGGTGTAGTGAGTTTGCCAGGCCTGATAGGAATTGCTGTTATATGACAGTGAACAATTGGTACTAGAATTTGAGGGGCTCTTAGGGTTACAAGCCCCAACCCCAGTGCTAAGACTACCTGAATATCGGTCTGATGTAGAGGGCAGCTCCAGTTCTTTGTGAACACCCCACTGTGAGCCAGTGGGTAGGGAGGGAATGGGGAAGTAAAGGAAAGGGAAAGAAATGGGCAGAACTTTGGCTTCTGCCCCCCCATTTACTGACCAGATTAGCTCTACCAATAGAGGCCAACAGAAGGAT